CCTTCCCACCTGGGAGTTTTTTAAGTTGTTGTTCATCAGTGTTTGACATTTTAGCTGTTGATTATGAATCTTAAGCCCGGCTTATGTTTTAGAAGTCTGGAAGTAAAGACGGAGGCAGTAAAACCCCTGGATGTCTGGAGACAGGACTAGATATAGGCTCCAATCCCATGTCCCCAACCCCTACGACACCCACTATTAATACACCTGGAACTCCTAAGTCACCCTTACCCTGCACAGCCACCACGCCAACAAAGACTGTAGTCCCGGATACAATCAAAACCAGCCCAGGGTCAGTGTGACACACGACTTCTATTTTTGTTTTGTTTTGGACAATAAAAACGTGTTTGTTGTGTGTTTCATCTGTGTAATTTGACTCTTCTCTCACCTATTGCTTCTGCCCTTCTTGCTCTCCCAGGGTACTTCTTGTGTCCCCTCCCTCATTGCCCCAGCTGGGAGCCATCTTACCCAGCAGTCAGGCTGGTCCACCAGCTTCGCAGCCAGTCACATCCCAACACACGGCTCGGATAGTGAGTCACCTGGCGGCAAGCTCCCTCCCTCAGGTGCGGGTTGTTTCTGCTCAGACTGGTCTGGTTTCTTCAGCCGGAAGTCAGCAGGCCACACTGATGCATCAGACCCCTCACCAGATCAGGATGCCGGTGTCTGTGGCAACCAAGGGCATTTCACAGGTAACCAGATAAGGAGCCGTGTTTGTTGTTTTTTTTACATTACTATTATGTTAATTCTGTCTGTGTTTATTGTGTACATCAATAGGCAGTGGTTTCTGTGCCTCTGAGGAGTCAGTCTGCTAGTAGTCCAGTTCAGGTGCCAACCACCCTGTCTGTGTCCGCTGTAGCCAAACCTCAAACTGGATCACCTGGTAGCCCAGCTAACAACCCTGCTTCCCCTGCTGTGCTGCAAGGAGTTGGCAGCCCTAATATCAAACAGGTGAAACATTTTGTTTCAACTGGGATATTTGGTCACTTAAGTCGACTACTTGTAGGGCCTTTTCTAAACAGTTTTAAACTGCAAGGATGTCTCCACCAGGCTGGAGATTAGTTATTGCATAGCTTAAAAACATATGGAAGGGGGCCATGCTCTCAAACTGAAAGGGTGCTATTTACAGGTTGATAAATAAATTTAACTCCTTGAACACTCAATCCCAAATGCTAAAAGACAGTTACAGCATAAAACTCAATATTTATTCCACCCAACATATGGTACAGGAGTACAAGTACAGAAATTAGTTCAACCTTTGTCCCGCATGGAACATTTGGTTTTTTCTGATTTCAACAGAAAACATCTACAGGCTATGGAGTGAAATATCTTACTTCCTATTTGGTGGTGTGTTTTTTTTTTTTTT